AGTGTTACCGTCAATTTGTGGTCATTCTTCTGCCTTGTCCTACTTTTGGAGAAGTTTTATCCTATTTATACTCAATTAATGTTTTCTCCTCAAAGCTAATATATAAATGTAATGACCTGATTATGTTAGCTACGTGCTTCACTTGTTGAATTTGTTGCTAGAAATATTAAATATTGATAAATGGCTAGATTGATGTAATCATAATGCATTGTATTTTATTTTGTATTCAGTATTAGTACATAAGTTGTTTCACTTGTTGCAGAAGGTGATTTCAGTTCATATATGCTCTCTACTTTGAATCAGGGACAGACTAAAATTGGTAAGAACCATGACCAGTCATCAAATAATTAGAAAATTAGAAATTGATTGTTTATGATCTCGATTTATTTAATGAGGTTAGATAACTATAAAACAACATTGCTTAGATAAAGTTGCTTGCTAGGATCGGTGTGGTGATCACTGCAGCACCATGTAAATCACAAGAACCGGCATGGTACTTATTATGCTGGTAGTAAGTATTGAAAACAACAGAGTATGGTCCTTGAGAGTGTCGGACAAGAAGAAAGTTTGTCCACGCTGAATCCTGCTACAGAATGCTTCGCTCTGTTGACAAGCCCAACTTAATGCTGCTTGTACCACTTGGTCCGATATCTGGAGATTGAATACACACCATGTTCCTGCGCTTGACGCTTCTATTTATGAAAAGAAGATACATATGTCAATGTGTGAAATATCACAAGTGGACATTACAATTTTGGTTTACCTAAATTTTGAGGAACTGTTGCTGATATGAAAAGAAATAGAGCAATTGTTATTCTTATCAACATTTTCGTCATCACAAAATGAAAGTTTGAGAGCTTAAGAATGGTTCTAAATTGAGTATTTTATGATGTTACTAGAGAATATCTATTAAGGACCAAGTAAAATAATTTACTATTGATGTGCAAGTGTTATCAATTGTCAAATCGTTTGGGTGAATAATAACTATTGTGAAATATGTAATTGTTTTCCTCAATTGGATTCAACATTCTAGGGATCACAATAATTAAGATAGTTTATATATAGAAGACATCTTTCTAGTATTATTTGAAAAATCAGTTTCTTACATGTTGTACTCATGTTAGTTCTTACGATTGTTAATTACACAAGTACCCTTAGGAATTAAAATATTACATATAATTATCATTATTAAAATTGATTTACCCTTTAGTTTAATAATTGATGTTAATTAGAAGTTTCCTTTTTGTAAATAACTTAAAAAATAAAAAGACACATCTATAAATTTTAAAAAAGAATTTTAAAGAGGCAAATATATTTATATATAATGTGCTTTAACAAAAACGGAAAGTTAAAAAAAAATAATCTTGATATTAAGGAAATAATATTTCCTTTTAAATATAATCTTAGACAACAAAAATATATTTTTAAGGTAATAAAAATATTTTTCTTAAATATATATATTTTCTTAAATAAAATACTATCCTTAAATCTACCAATTTTCTCAAAAACAAATCACAAAAAAAGGTATTAATTTTCAAAATGTTAAATGATATTCTTATTAAAACTGAATTTACAAGAAGCTTAAATAATTAGAAAATTATTTTTAAAATACTATACCTTTTGATAATTTTAATGAAGTAAAATATTCTATTTTGCACCAATACAAAAATTCCTTTTTACTTAATTCATATTATTTCTTTATATTTATCCTCAATTATCTAAAGAATAGTATATAATGAAGAGAAATTCTTGGGTTCACCCCCTAGGGTGAACCTAAAGTTTCACTAATCAATATGATTTTATTATTTCATATTCAGTATATTTTAAAAAAAGAAACAAAATATTATCGAGTTATATTATGTTTTAATTTTCTTACTTTTAATTTATTTAATAACGTTAGTAAAATACTAAATCCTAAACCCTTGAGTAAATCCTCAACCCTTGGATTAATTTTAAACTCTACCATTTATGTGTAAGCCAAGGGTTTACAATTTATCCAAAGGTTTAGGGTTTAGTGTTTTGCTTATGGTATTAAAAATATTTTTATATAATTCAAGGATTTATTCAAGGGTTTACACAAAGGTCTTAAGGTTTAGGATTTAAGGTTTATGGTTTAGTGTTTTGATAATAGTATTAAAAATTAATATTTTTTGCAACTACTATTATCATTTATTTATTTTTATCTTTACATTTTTAAAAAATAATATGGTATTTTATTTAAGAAAATAAATCTAAATATTAAGTAAAAAGGAATTTTTTAATTGGTGTATAATATAATATTTTAATTCATTAAAAGTATCTAAAGTTATACTATTTAAAAAAAAAATTCTAATTATTTAATCTTCTGGTAAATTTAGTTTTAATAAGAATATCATTTAACATTTTATAAATTCAATAATACTAGAACTTAAAGTTATTTAAGAGAATGACTGCTATTTTCTCAAAAACAAATCACGTATTACTCATCAGAACTGAAACTATATACTATTATTCAGTTATGTATTTTTTGAACTCTTTTCAAGTCATATGTTTTTGTATTGAATTAAGGTGTCTAAATCTTATTGAGTACATTTTAGATTATAGTTATATTCAAATATTTTTATTTTTTTCCATCTAGGAAGTGTTTTATTTTCATGTTTTATGTGGTCATTATGATGACATAGATTGTTGTTAATTCTGTGACAATGGCGAGTTATGACAAATTAAAACGGTAACAAACAGCCGTAAAAATCCCGTTGTACATATATTATCGTCGTAAAAATCATCTCATAGCAGACCTTTCATTGTAATATCTTTGTAAAGTTCACGATGAAATTTTTTATCCAAATTCGAGACACAAGACTTCAACGTGAAGTCATCCTTAACCCACGAGGATGACCTTCGTCTTAAATTAATCGTTAATGATTTGTTGTAAAATCTTAGTACAGTTTCAAAGTGAAATCATTATTTAGGTATACAAATTTTATGATGATTTTAAATTGAAGTCGATGTTAAATCCATGTAAAATTTTACTATGAGTGTACATGTATGTCCTAGTATAGTTCCAATAAAACATTATGAGCACTTGATACTTTATTCGCGCTATGCGCGGATTATGTGTTTTACATTTATCAAAATTTCATCTTTAATTAATTTATTAATGATTTCGTTACTTTTTCATTTATCAAAATTTCATCGTTAATTAAGTTATTAAAAAAAAAAAATATTTGTAAATATGAAACTTATATATAACAAATTTTATTGCTTGTTTTCCTCTAAAAGAAGTCTATCTTAAAATTTTAATACTTAAGTTTTTTTTTTTACTTTTAATAGTTTGATATTACATCTAAACATATGAACCTTCTAAAACATGTATCCCATTACCCCAAATAAAAATAAACTAACACATTAATCTTTATAATTTGATTAAGATATAAAATAAACTATGATTTTTAGTTTTCATAAAAATATTTAAAGTAAACAAATCGTAAAATAGTTTATCAAATTAATAATTGTTCAATCTAATAAAATATTATGATTATAAATTATTAATATTGTTTTTGAAAAAAAAAAGTTGATATCAAGTGTGTCGGCTATTTTTCGGGGAACATTAACCAAGTGTTATAAGTTAAAAATATTTCTGATTTATTCCACAATAAAGTTTTATTTGTGAGATTTTTTAAAGAGCCAATGGCTAAAAAATCTTCATGGAAGATTTAAAAAATTTTGAAATAGGAATGGAGATAAATCTATAAAAATTATTAAAGATAAGATGTTAAAGATAAGATGTAATTAAGAGGACAGCTAGAATTTGTACGCTAAGAACCATGGATAAACAAAAGAAAGATATTCTTATAGGAGAATCTTCATACACACATTCATTTAGAGGAACATAAAAACGAATGTGAAGCACCAAGCTGTAAAATAGATTTCTCTAGTAGAAAAGTGCAACGAAGAAAACCATATCAAGTTTATCTTCTCCTGCTCCCTCAAACTCATATAGGCAAAGAACACCTCATATTTAAACAGTAAAACTCAGCCACATCAAGTTTAGGTCACGAGTTCGAGTCACGGGAGGGGAGAAGTGTCCATGGCCATAACAAGTACAGACAAAGGCTGGTTCCGGGCCTAGGGGAGATTAAGGCCAAAGGCCCAAAACCATCCTAGTTAAAAAAAAAAAAAAACTTAGCCACAGCTGGTATTAGACATGAGTTAAGAAAAAGCTATAAAAACATATCATTGACCGTCTACAATTTTTTTTTTTTTTTCAGTTCATAGCCAAAACACGTGGCTGCATGCATCTGCAACAACTTCCTCGATTATAAAGATACATAAAGAGTTAACATAGAACTTACCTTTAACCAACAAAAAAAAACAGAGAACTTACCATCCAACCTTCAAATTTGTAAGATTTCTAGATCTACAAATGCCTCTTCGTCGATTTGAGCCCAACTCGAGCTTGATTTTTGGAAAAAAAAAGCAACGTTAGCTTATTATCTCTCAGTCAAGTACCAGTTAATACCTAATGTAGCGAATAAAGTCGATATTTAACTAATGCAGGTTTACTTATCAAAAGATTACTTCAATGAGTATGTAGACCATAATACGTGCTCATACCGTAATTTGACATAGGATACAATATCAATAAACTTAGCTAGATTAGGTATATTTATTAATATATAATTAACTTTACAGAAATATAAATCAAAATCAAAATTAATTTATTTAAATGTAGTTATTTCTACTTCGTTTATTTCAAAATAACTCAGTCTAACTAAAATATATTATAGACAATCTTGGTTTGATATAAATATTAATTTTTTTATTTTTCTAGCCAGATGAACTTTAATAATTTTCATTAGTTTGGCCAAAAAAAAAAATTTCTAGATAGATTGTTATAGGGGTGGGCGTTCAGATAATTATGATCAAAGAAAGAGAAGAAAAGAAACAAGTAATATATCAGTGCTGAGAGATTTTCAGGCACAAATAAAATTTTGTACCTCTAACTCAGATATCATAACTCATAAGATTTTCAGGCACTGCTCCAGCATTAACTTCTCTTGTGCCACCACTTCAGCAAGTTGAGAGGCAAGTGGAACGATATCCTCTATCTGCTAATGAAAATATTCTTTAAAGTTACTAAACCACCTACTTAGATGTCACCTTTTTACCCCTCGGCATAGAAATATATAACATACCGTAGGAGCAAAACTATTCACAGTTGAAATGATAGCATCAGAGGCTGCTTCTCCCTTCTGAAATATAGTGACAGCAGATTCTATGTTCACCTGAAAACCTTAGTTGTTATTGCCAAAAAAAAAAAAAAAAAAAAAGGTGAGGAGCATGATCTAAATTACCTTTGCACCTTCCCTTAGGGGAACCCTGGAAAGAAGAGAATGCATGGCTTGTATGGACATGGAAATAGATGAAAAGTGTTGTCTTCTCATGTCCTCCGCCTCAAGATGCTTAACCTATTTCATATTTATTTCTTATCAATCCGATTTAGACTTGCTTCAAAAAGACCAGCAAATGGTTTTTTTGGAGCAGAGACGTACCTGAGAAAGAAGGACATGAGCCAGCTTCATTTCCAAGTTTTTCTTTTGCAGATTAATTCTCTCTTGTATAACCAAATTTTGTAGTTTGGTAAGAGCATCCCATGCACAGAGTAATTGTTTCTGGAAAAAGGTTTCATGAGTAGAAGTGATGATGATGACATTATTACCTTTGCTCGGAGTATTGTTTGCAGCCGACACTCTAGCATTGACAAACCTCCACTGAACCAACCGATTGTTCGTAAGTTTCAGCTGATGAGCAGACTCTGTTGTCTTTGGTTTTAATGGTGGAGAAGGCTTCTTCTTGCTCCTGAAGAAATCAAAACAAAGGTTCAGTAGTTTACAAGGCCTTTGTCTCTTGGAGGCTTGAGGCTCGAGGAGATCTGATGAGCTGCTTCCAATGATCTTCCTGGTGACATTGCCCACTGAGACATCGAACTGCTACCATACCTAGCCGCTGATTGTTTCAAAACACGTAACTAATGTAAAGGCACACCTTCGATTTTTGTCGTCGAGGCGTTTTTTGAGGATGTTGAGGATAGTTTTATTAATGGTCTCTGCTTGTATGTTGCCTTGAGGATATCTTGGAGTTGATTTTGTCAATCGTATTTTCCATTTCTCGCAGAAAGCTTCGAATATACTCGAGATGAATTGAGACTTGTTGTCCGTTTCGATTTCGTATGGGACCCCATGTCTGCAAACTATATTCTTCATACGAAACTCTCTACTTGGGCGTCTTTGATGCTCGCGTAAGATTCCGCTTCGACCCACTTGGAGAAGAAATCGGTTAGGACCAAAAGGAAGCGTTTTTGTTTCGACGCTTGCATCGGCCCGACTATATCCATTGACCATCGCATGAATGGATACGGTGCCGAGATGGATGAGAGAACTTTGGCTGGCTGATGGATAGTTGGAGCGTGCCTTTGGCCGTTCTCGCATTTTCGTGCAAAATTCTCGCAATCCTTGATCATCGTCGGCCAAAAGTATCCGTGGCGTTTGATTTTTGTTGCAAGAGACCTTCCGCCGGAATGGTTTCCGCAAGAACCGGAATGCACTTCTTGCAGTATCCGCAGTGCCTTTTCTCCTTGCACGCAGGTCATAAGTGGTCCGGAGAATCTCCACTTATAGAGCTCTTTGTCGACTAGAACGTACCTTGCGGCCTGAGTTTTTATTTTTCGGGCTGCCCATTTTTCCGATGGGAGTTCTCCGTTGGTGATGTATGCGAGGATCGTTTCCATCCATGGCCGGTTGAACCCGTAGTCAGACTGATCTGCGGCTGGACGATCATTGTTTTCGTTGATATCATCTTCCGGTTCGTCGATCAGGTTTATGACTATAGGTGGTCCGATGATAGGGTGTTCGATGAATTTGACGGGAATTACCCTGCTCAGACCAGGATCCGAGCTTGATGCCAAGGTGGCCAGGGAGTCTGCTTGGGTGTTTTCGGCTCGAGGGATCCTAGTAAGGGCGAAATGGTCAAACTTTTGGGTTAAATCCTTGACTAAGGTTATATACGCTTCCATCCTTTCGTCCCTCGCCTCGTATTCTCCGCTGAATTGGCTAGCTACCAACTGGGAATCGCAGTAAGCGTGGAGAATGCATATCTTTAGGCCGCGAGCTAGTCGCAATCCTGCGATCAAAGCCTCATATTCTGCTTCGTTGTTTGAAGCGTGGAAGATCAATCGAAACGATTGCTCTAGTATTTCTCCCGTCGCTGATACAAGTCGGACTCCAATCCCAGAGCCTTGGTTGGACGAGGATCCGTCGACGTATAGGATCTAAGTCGAATTCGGCTACTGGTCTGTCGTGCCCCCCGTTGGGAGTTCTACTAGAAAATCTGCGAGCACTTGCGATTTTGCACAAGTCTTTGCACGATATTCAATGTCATACTCGCTCAGCTCGATTGCCCATTTTGCTAATCTTTCCGATTGGCTAGGGCTATGCAGAATTGTGCGGAGAGGGAATGAAGTGGGCACGACGATAGTATGGGACTGGACGTACGGTCTCAGTTTCCATGCCGACATGACTACGGCTAGCGCCAATTTTTCCATCATCGGATATCGTGTTTCCGCATCCAGCAGCGTTTTACTTACGTAAAAGGTCGGTTTTTGCTCACCACATTCTTCTCGTATGAGGACGCCGCTCACGGCGGTCGTCGATACCGCAATGTATAGAAATAATGGTTCTCCTTCTACGGGTTTTGCGAGTACTGGCGGGGTAGTTAGGTAATGCTTTAGCTGATGGAAAGCTTTTCTGCATTCTTCTGACCACTCGAACTTTTTGTTTCCTTTTAATGTTTCGTAAAAAGGAAGACATTTGTCCATTGACCGCGAGATAAAGCGGTTAAGTGCTGCGACCCTGCTGGTTAATCTTTGTACTTCCCCTTTTGTCCTAGGAGACACCACTTCTATCAATGCCGTGATTTTTTTTGGGTTGGCCTCAATCCCTCGGTAAGTGACGAGGTATCCTAAAAATTCTCCGGATGCGACGGCAAACCGACACTTCGCAGGATTCAACTTCATGTTATGAATGTTGAGCCTCTCAAAACATTCTTGGAGGTGCACGACATGATCTCGCTCTTCGAGTGATTTCATGAGCATATCGTCGATGTACACTTCCATCGTTTTTCTGAGTTGTTCGGCGAACATGCGATTGACGAGTCATTGATAAGTCGTGCCGGCATTCTTAAGACCAAAGGGCATTACCTTATAGCAATAGGTTCCACGATCAACTATGAACGTGGTTTTCTCCCGATCGTCAGGGTTCATCATGATCTGATTGTACCCTGAAAAAGTGTCCATGAAAGATAAGATTTTGTTCCCTGCGGTTGCCTCGACTAGGCGATCGATGTCAGGCAGCGGATAACTATCTTTAGGACATGCTCTATTGAGATCGGTGAAATCGATGCAGACTCGCCACTTTCCGTTTTTTTCTTAACGACAATTAGATTAGCAAGCCAGTCAGGATATCAGACTTCTATGATCAATCCAACTTTGAGGAGTCTATCGATTTCATTGTTGACCGCCTCGGCGCGTTCTGGCCCCAGTTTCTGTCTTTTTTGTTTGACGGGTTTGGATGTCGGATCAACATTGAGTTCGTGACAAGTGATGTTAATGTCGATTCCTGGCATATCTTCCGCAGTCCATGCGAACGTGTTCGAGTTTTGTTTCAGACATGTTAGGAGTTCGGCTTTTAAGGTCTCGCTTAGGTTCCCTCCGATTTCGACGCAGCGTTCAGGGAATACCTCATCGATGAATACTGAGATAACCGGTTCGCAGGTCAGCTCGCATTTACCTTCCAATTCCTCGGCTGCTCGCAACTGCCAGAAGATTTCCGTTTTATCTTGCTCTGGGGCGTTGTCGAGGGCAGACGATTTCTTTTTCTTTTCGGAAGAAGCGTCAGTCGGCAGATTTTTCCGTTTTAAATCTGCGGCATAGCAAACCTGCGAGGTTCTCCGATTTCCCCATATGGTCTCGATTCCGCACGGAGTCGGAAACTTAAGACACATATGATACGTCGATGGAACCGCTTGCATCGAGTTTAACCATGGTGTCCCTACGATTGCGTTGTAGGACATGGGCCGATCAACGACTTGGAACTCGACGATTTTTACTATGCTTCCGGTGCGAACCGTAAGGTTGATTTTGCCGAGAGTCATAGTGATTTATCCCGAGAGTCCTACTAGCGGGCTTGTTGATATCACTCAAATGTTTAACCCTAAGGAGTGATTTACTCTCTCAAATAAGAGGTTCAATCGTAGTACTTAGGGATCGAATCCACTAGAAACTAGAGTCACAAAAGATATAATCCTAAGTGATTAACAAAAGATATAATCCTAAGTGATTAAGCTAGGTTGAAAAGGTTTAAAACAATAAATAAAAGTTGGTAGCAATGGTAAGTTGCTAAGGAAAATAGGTTTTGGGTTTGAAAACAATGAAAGAAAGTAGTTAGATTCAAGGTTACTATTCATAAAATCATGATTATAAATCTATGGATGTCTTAACGAATTGCTTGCAAATATATGAGAACTTCAATCCTTAGACAAATCTGTAGCTGTCGCTATTAGACTCGTCCATTGATCTGATTGCCGACAGTATCGATCGATGTTGCTATCGCAGTGTCGATCGATATATGTTGCCGTCGATCGATGACTCTATAGGAGTATCGATCGATATATAGCATCAGATCGAATTGAAACTGTGTTCACCCGAGAATTTATATTAGGCTGGCTATCGCATCGTGCCTAATAGAGTCTGGGCTTAGCCAAATGATTTCAGGAAAATGACTATTAGATTTGTCACTCCATAATCATAACTCTAGGTAGAAAATCTAGAGTAAGAATTAGGGTTCATTTGAATAATGAATATAACAACTCAACAATCCATAGTTGGGGCTAATCCCTCATAACTATTTGAACCCCAAATCTAACAGATGAATCTACTCAGACATAGCCAAGAGATTCATAGCAAAAGAATAAGATGAAAAGAAAATACTTTATTGCTTAAGTAGAAATAGAATACAAAACTTTCTTATTAGATGTAATGATGTCTTTCTAGGGTTCATATGCATAACTATAAATATGGAGTACAATTAGGTTAAAAACTCGTTAGGGGCAATCTTGTAATTTGGTGAGAACTTGGGCTTCAAGTCGGCCAAGTAAATCTTGCTCATCACGCTCTGTATCGATCGATGGTACATGGTGTACATCGATCGATGGAGTATCTCGACTTCAACTTCTACGGAATCGTCATCGATCGATTACACAAAGTGTGTATCGATCGATATGTGTCTCTCAATGTCGGATCTTCATAGTCATCTTGTAAAACTCTCCTTTAAGCTCCATAAGGCACCTAAATCATCACTTTACCACAAAATGCTCCTGAACCTGAAAACATACCTAATAGACTCCAAAACATAGATAATTATAATAAAAACATATCAATACCATGACCAAAAACGGGTGAAAATCATGGTATATCAACTCCCCCAGACTTAATCTTTTGCTTGTCCTCAAGCAAACCTTAAGTTAGTCTTTGAAAGAAGTTTAAAAACAGCAGGGACTAAGTCAGGGCTGACTTCTTCTTGTAGGGCTTCTTTTTCATATCGGACTAAGTCAGGGCTGGTGGTATTCCAGAGTAGTTCACCTCGAAGTCTTGATAGGTCTTTCTCATGTTCATATTG